GCGCGTAGAGACACGGCGGCAGCTCGGGGGCCGCCGCTGCCCCGGCTGCCATGAGTTGTGCGGAGGTGATGTATCACCCCCAGCCGTATGGAGCGTCCCAGTATCTGCCCAACCCAGTGGCAGCTGCAACCTGCCCCACAGCCTACTACCATCCGGCGCCCCAACCTGGCCAGCAGGTGAGTCACCGACTGGGCAGCCGGCCGGGGGCGGGGGCGAGGGGCACCGAGAGTATCGGTCTGGGGCTCCGGAGACAGGTTGCGCCGAGGATGCTCTGGGACCTGCGGGAGCACCGTGAGCAAAAAGCCATGGGAAGAGAGGCAGAGGAGAGGCTTTGAGCAGGGAAGGACAGTGGGCTGCACTGGTGGGGGAAGCGTTACCTGGCTGGGGGCTTCACTGAGCGTTGTCGCCGGAGCTCGGCGGCTGCTCCTCATAGCCACCCTGGCTCTTAGAGGTCAGTTCTCTGAAGCTCCCACGGCAGCTGTCTCAGGACTATGTGAGTAAACTTCCTTTAAGCATACTATTCTGTCTCTTTTGCAAAGGTGCAATGTTTCGGGGGTTTTCTTGATTAAGAGGATGAAGTGTGCCACGGAGGTACTGGGCTGTACTGGAGGGAGGCTGCCTGGACAGTAAGCTCTTGAAGAGATCTGAGACTTACGGCGAAACAACTGTTCTGCTGTAACGTCTGTTTCGACCTTACTTCAACTTCTCCATGGAGTCTTTCTCCCTATGACTGTGGCTTAGGGGACAGAGATGGATTCCAGTGTTCTTCATTCATTTTCTAATCTCAGCCAAGCACAGAGCTTGTTGTAGTAAGTGTTCAGTCTATTGACAGCAAGTCTCCCAGCCAACAAGTAACTTTGGATCTCTGGATGTTCCGTCTCAGTGGTGTCGGGAGTAACTGAAAATGCCCATAACCAGGGTCTGGGGTGATGAAATAGTTATTTTGGAGGGAGAATGGAGTTCTGGGGAATGTGGCTCTAGGTGCCTTTGGACATTACTCTCTGAGGGGCTGTACAAACTAGGGATGTCCTCAGATTATAGGAATTAGAGTGGGTTGATTTGACAAAGTTCAAAAGACACATACAACTAGATATATTTGGAAATTACTATCCCTAGAATTTCTTTTTACTTTCTCAGGAACCATATGTTTTATTGTGGCTGTAAGGGTTAGGTCTTTTAATTAAACTGGCTTTTTGATAGCCATATTTCCTCTCTGTCTTTGCTACTCTTTGGAAGGAAGCAAAACTTTCTGTTTAGAATTCAGGGACTGTGAAATTCAGCTGAATCTGGAAGGGTGTATGCCTCAGATTCATCTGTGAAATAGTACCAGCTTACCGGGGACCAATGAAAGCAAAAGTGAAATTAGCCTTGTTTCTTATCAGTTTTTTTATTTTAAATATTCATCATTTCAAAGCCAAAATGGCTTTTGTGGAGGGGAATGGGAAAGCATTTTGTAATTTGTGGTCAAAGGTGACAGATGAAAATATTTTGATAATGCCATTGTTTTTCCTTTGTCTTTAATTGTAAAAAATATATAAGCAATGGAGAAAACCATGAAGGTTCAAGTCAGACAAATGGAGCAAAGTGAGCCTGGTGCTTGCATTTTATAAATACTCAGTCCTAGATCAGGCACCCTTTCCTTCATTTCTGAGATCCGAGGGCCTTCAATTATCAGTAGGAATGTGGACAAACAACAGTCTCACAACTTTACTGAATATTTGGATACTTTCCCCTACCTTAAAAAAGTAACAAACTAATAGAAGTTTCAAATAAGTTTCTATTTTTTAGAGTTGTGAAATTAGTTTTATTGAAATAAGAATCTATGTACTCTGAATTCCTTTTTTGATTCCTTTTCATCAATAATTTAGTATTTTAATTCCTTTTTTGAACTGGAATGTAAAATTTAGCATCAGAAAAAAATACAAACTACCAATTTAAAAGTTTTTCCATGAGAAAGGACTCCAAATATTTTACCTAACTTTTGCAACGGCCCCAAATTCCATTCTTTTGTTAAAACTATCAAAATGCTGAAGAAGGAACTTTCTTCTTCTTCTTCTTCTTCTTTTTTTTTAACTTGATTTGCCTACATTGGTGAATTGTGTGATGATCAACTTCTGTTCTATTTTGCAGTTTTGCAGACCTTGTTTAAGGAGATGTTAGGCTGAATTGACCACGGAATTTAGCTGAGACGTGTGTTCGGAAATTTTCATGTAGCTTTTACTAAACTGGCTTAAGATTTCTTTTTTTGTCAAGTAACACAACTATTTGACCATAACTGGCCAGTAAAATAAAAAGAGACTTGAGAGTGTGTAACTACTGTTCTTTTACTGTCAGGAGTTTATTTTGATGACCTACATTTTCTATTGAAAAAAAAAGTAAATCAGGAAATTCTTATCAGGCTGACAGCATTTTTAGACTATGCGGTGCGTGGGTGAAGTGGGACTAATATTGACTTGGCCCTAAAGCTGTCATCCGAGAATACATATTTTGGTTGTTTTTGCATTCCATAAGGTTTTATCATTATTATCCATGAAGATTGTTTTCTCCGTACATGGGAAGTGACCCCTAATAGCATCTTGCCTGGGAGACAGAAATAAAGGCTACCACCCCTCCTGCATTTGAAAATTGATTTGTTGAGGAGGAAGAAAAAAGAAAAAGGAACAAAAAAAGTAACAGAGTAATCAAGAAAGGGCAAGAGTTATTTATACACGGCTAGAAAAGAGCATTACAGTTTTGTATTACTTCTGTATTCAATTGGAGTAATGCATTTTCACTATAGAATATAACTGATTTTTTCCACAAATCTGTATGGTTATATATAAATTACTATATGGTTCATTATGATGCACTTAAAACATATTTTCTCCCTAAATATATGATCATATGACTTTGAAAATTGGTTTTGAAACAACAGAACTTTATCCTCCGGACACATAAATTCTCAGTTTTTCCTTTAAAAGCACACTTGTAGGTACCCTTGAAATTTTAAGTTTAGGTTTTTATTAAACCTATGCATATGTAATAGGTGAGTAATAGACAAATATCTTGGAAGTGTTGTTTGTTAGATGTGCGTTCAGCTGCACTCCAGTGTGTGCTTTAGCCATATGGTAGGCAACATGAGTGAATGTAATCTGTCAGTCTATCTGAAGAATAAATTTTATAGCCCCTGCTATCCATTCCTAGAAATTGCATGGCTGTGAATAAATCTTACAGTGTGCTCTTTAGAGCTGTGAATTACTGAGGGATGCTGAGTAACTTGTTCCCTTTGCCCACCACCTCTTGGTGGCCTTGATACATCAGTCCTTAACCTTGTCTTACGAGAACTCTTGACTCAGTCTCTCAGCACCTGCTCTGAAAGCTGATGACACTGCAGAACATGTGCAGATGTGAAGAAAGACGTGCACTTGTATTCTAGCAGTGATGTAGGAACCAACAAGAAATTTTTAAAAATGTGTCAGGAGAAATTGAAGACAATACTATGAAATCATAGATTTCCTTCATATTCAGTGAACTTCTCTTCTTAAACAGCCTCTTAATCACCCCACTTCTTTATTTATAATGTTAACCTTAGGAGGGTACTTAAGGCAAAGCTTTGAGTTTAAAAATAAGACAGCAAACAATCAGTTGTTTTCTAATTGTGCATAGGAGGTTTTAACACTTTGAAAGAGTATATTTACTCTTGTCTCTTTAAGAATAACGGCAGGGTGAATCTCCATGCACATTTTCACTTAAAAGAATTAGGTGCCCTTGAAAAGCAGAACTCCAGTTAAAAGTTTTGTGAAGTGTTTTTTCAGACTCTTTCTCTGGATCCTGTCCCCTTGGTTAAGTCATAAAATGGCCCTGAAATTCTGTTCATCACAGGAAAATCCTGGAAAAGCATAACTTAAGCCCCTTTCTTTATAAATGAAAAAATATATATTCATCAGACAGAAACACCTCGCTAAAGATTACAAAGCTGACGGGTGACAAAATCAGAGCCACCCAGATCTACTTCCCACCATAGCATCTTTCCACCGTACCAAATAGTCTCTCAAGTATTTTTTTTTCTGTTGCACAATAGGTTTATTTTTGTATTTAGGTCCCCAATCAACTTTTTTGATAAAGAAGGTTAATATGCAGTAGATTCTTTGGCCTTGGAGTTTGAAATTCTTTCCAAGTCCTTGGTAGTGTACTTTTTAAGTTGAGGCATTCCAAAGGCTTTCTGCGAGCATTAGTATTATTCTAATGACTTATGCTATCCCTGTTGCATCCTTTGTTGATGAGGCCGAATGTTCACTTAGCCAAAGAGCATTTACTCTTCTAAAATAAAATATAGGAAGTGGCATTAACAGTCAATCTTAAGTGCCTCATGCATCATTGCTAAGCCAACATAAGTTTAAATTCATTAATGGGAAAGAATACAATTATAAACTAAATAGTTTCAATTCATAGTCAACTTATTGAAGGCAGAGAATCTTTTTTTTTTTTTAACAACTGTATGTAAGGACTTAAGTGGATTTGTAAGAATTCATACAGGACTTTGAGAAAGAACAGCCCCTATAATTCCACACTACACAAATTAACTTGACTGCAAAGACTTAGAAGCTTAAAGTGCTCTACAGCTTCATGCTCCCAATAACTTTCCAGCCAGAAAGTTCGACACTAGAGAAAAAATAAAATGTTAAAATAACTGAATTGTTGTCTCTGGCCGTCAGCCAGAATGGAGATTACAATAACGATGTTAAGGGCAGGATTGCAATCCATAAAATCACACCTAGGGAGGATATGTTCACCAAGAAATCAAATGCGAGGGCAAGGTGACACTCTGGAAATTCAAGTGAAGAGTACTTTGGCTGCGTGCAAGGAAGTCCTACTTTACCTAGCACTTAGTAAAATCTCACATTTACACAGTTGGATATGGCACGGACATAGCCCATAGAACGGGAAACGCGTGTTGGAGGAGAGAGTTGTGTTCTCCTATGCAGCATTTATTCAGGCTACTACAGAGGGGCGGTGAGCTGACTCCTTGGGTAGTATATATTTTTTTCTCTCATATCTGTTTATGTAAAGGGAATTTTCACTGAGAATAAGACTATGATGTTTCTGATGCCTAAGGCAGATCTTAAAGCAAATTTGTGAGTAAGGTGACTATCATTTTAAAACCTGGGTGCTCGGGGTGGCACCTGTGGCTCAAAGG